CTACGTATTTATATACTTTAAATTATTATATGACACGTTTAAAAAAAGAATGGTGGACTGCTTAGGAAACTCAATTTACCGAACAAAAATATTATTTGTTAGGATGACGCCTGTAGAAATTCTGCAAATCACTCACTCACTTGCAAACTTGGATCCTTACCTAGAGGTGATAGTGGTCTATACAGATGGGAGATAGATATATAAAATTAGAGTTTGAGAAATGACAACGATATAGCCATGATGTTTAGAAAACGTGTATTGATATCGGAGATAAAAGTAAACAAGCTAACATAGGCAGGAGGTATGGAAAGAACTCCACAAGAGCGATCAGCGAAGAAATTATATATATATATATATATATATATATATATATATATATATATATATATATATATATATATATATATATATATATATAGGGTTTTATAACGTCTTACGACGTTGTCCGACTCCCAAACGCCACTGTATTCTGTCTTGAGTTAGGTCTTCGTCCAGATTTCGAGCGCTAATCGCTTTCCTAACTCCCAGGTTCCAGCTCTGTGGTGGTCTTTCTCGTTTCCTCTTCTCTGGGGGTTGCCACATCATCGTTTTTTTAGGCTATCTTTCGTCCCCCATTTGGCTCACATGCCCATACCATATGAGCTGTTTTCTCTCTATCCTCAACTATAGTGCCCTCTATACCCATTTGTTGTTTTATCACTTCATTCCGTATTCTGTCGGCTCTTGATGTTCTCATCGATCTTCTGATGGCGTCCATTTCCTTGGCTTCGACCTTTTTCTTATATTTCTCGGTTATTCTCCATGTCTCAGCTCCATAAAGTAGGCTAGTTTTAACCATTGTCTCATAGATGTTCCATTTTCTTTTCTTTGTTATTGCTTTACTCCATAGAACTCCGTTCAAACATGCTATAGCTCTTCGTGCTTGTACAATTCGATGTTCTATTTCTCGTTCGTCTTTTCCACTACGGTCGAAGATGACGCCCAGGTATTTATATTCGTCGCATGGATTTATTTTTTGATTGTCATCGATATCGAGTTGTTCTGCTTCAGCTCCAATTGAGAGGTATTTTGTCGTTTCTAAATTGATATTTAATCCCCATTTCTGGTATTCTTCAATTAGTTTTCTAAGCAGAAATTATATCGAAGAATTAAAGGAAGCGGAGGACATCGATGAAACTCAGCTCATCTACAACATATTGTCTGGATCAGGGATGTTAAGGTTCTGAGGAAGCTGGAAGTTAGAAAAATGAACTTTAGCTGAAGATTAATTGACTTGGAGGTAGGTAATTGGTCAGGATCAAGTCCACCATGGGCTCTCGTTCTGCGGAGTTGTATTAGTATATGTAGAAATAATCATAGAAACATTGGAAAGAGCTGGAACTGTAATAATAATAATACCAATAAAAGTTTCTTGTAATGTATTTATTATCTAAAAATGTTATAATTGAATTTGACTATAGGCACATAAGTTTAAGAACCTTTATCAAAATAAGGGGTTGGCTTTTCAACTGATCCCCAAAACAATATGGTTTTAGTTTGCTCATGTCTCATGAAAAAAATGAAAGGAACATCAACTCTAAACCTAACATGTGGAGAATTCCTATATATTAGAGTGGCGGTAGCTGCCGCTGCTTCAGTGCCGGTTTCTGTTAACTTCACGTAAACCTTGTGAATTATTTTATCTACAAATAAACCAGGATTTCGGTAATTATTGTTACCTCCTGATTGTTGGTTGATAAGGTATCTCAAACCGTCAATGGTATCATTTAAATTCGAAATTACTCTTTTGGTTCTTTTGTGTCCACCTTTATAGTGTCCCGCTATCTCTTCACATGTTGTAATGTTATTAGAGGTGTCAAAAATACTTGAACAGTTTACTGGTTTGCCAGATCTACTAAAAATTATTATTTCGTCGTCATTGGAATCATCGTAATCATAATGACTTTGGGATGGGGTCAGAGGATTAAGTACATAATCTTGCTGTGGAAACGGAATTCCTCTCGCACTTTCGATACCAGGTGACAGAAGACCCAAGTTGGCCGATTCAGCAAATAAACTTCGTACATTTAATTTGGTCATAACAGATTTGATGTCTAAAGTACTGTCCAATGTCATCCTGGGCATGCTTACCGTGACGTTTGTATAAACTGTCTTCTGTGCTAAAGATTCCAAGTCTGCTTCTGTGATTTTATCTCTAAACTGGTTAAGATTTTGGACACTTGACTCAAATGGCATAATTACGTAGAGGACAGTTCTTCTTCCTTTGTAGGGAAGTCCTAAAATTTCACAACCTAATTCTGTATCTTCGAAATAGGGAAAGTTGCCCGGACCTGACATCATTTCTACTTCAAACTCTGAAGGCGAGTTTCTGCCATTTGGGTAAAAAGATCTCCTAGAATTAAAACATATCTTGATCTTGTATGTAGGGTGTATGTATATAGGGTGAGTCATTACTAACGGGACGGAAGTTTACGGAAGACAGTGAAAGGGTAAAATGATTTGTATGTTAATAAAAGCTACATTAAATTATTTTGAAATTTACAGGGTATCCCACTAAATTGCTGCGTACATTTTCATAAGAGTTCCCTATACCTACAGAGTGTTCTGAATTATGTCGACTTTTCTTAAAACGTAAAGTTTTAACAGTATAGTGATTCTCAACTTATTTAAGCAATTATACCAAATTTTCTCTTATATCTAAATAGTTGGACATTTGATGAGTATTGAACATCTCTTTACAGGGTGTTACAGATGATTGCCATCTTGTGCAATACAACAAGCGATTATATCTTCATATGATTTACTTAATTATTTAACATATTTAGTGTTTGCAAAAGCGTTCGGAATTCTTAATCTATCATCTGGAGTAGTAGAGGGTGTAGTATGTACAATATTTTTAATATAACCCCATTTAAAGAAACCCATCTTGGTCAATCTTTGTGACCTATCAGGTCAATTATATGGACCTCTTCTATATATCCATTTAATTCTAAATGTTCTATTAAGGTACTTCCTAACCTCCTAACATCACGTGAAAAATGAACAGGAGCTCCGTCCCATTCGAGCCACATTTATGTTTTGACGCTAAGTGGAAAGTTATCAAAAAAGATCCAAAAACCTTAATTTAAGAAAAAAATTTATTAAAAATCCTTTGTAAAAGGTATATATTTATATACCTATACATAATATGTTTATATTTATATTTATATTAAATATATACCTGTTACAAAGGATTTTTAATAATTTTTTTTAATATATGGTATACAGCCAACTACAGGAACGTAGATTCCTTGTGGATTCTTAATTTCAGAAATTTAAAAAAAGTTATTCCATTGAGATTTCCGTCAAAAAATATGGGCGGGTAAGTACTCTAGTGCCGCCCCAAACGTTAATACTCCTTCGGTGTTGAGGATCAACAGTACAAAATAAATGTTTGTTTACTGTATCGAATAATGACAATTATGTATATTTACTGGACCATTATTGTGACAAGTAGTTTCGTCTGTAAACAATCTTCTTCTTAAGGTGCACTCTCCATTACTGAAGGTTGGCAATAATTACAGCAAATTTCTCTCCTTGAGCTGCTCTTAGTATCGAATGTGTGTCCATGACTGTCCAATCTCTTACATTTTCCAGCCAGGAGCTCTTCTTCCGGAACCTCTTCTTCCTTCCACTTTCCCTCCTTTTATCAGTCGTAGGAAGTTTTATTTTTCTCCTCTGTAAATATGTCCTAAATAACTCGTTTTTCTAGTTTTTACAATATTTAGGAGTTCTCTATCAGTACCCATTCTTCTCAGCACCTCGTTGTTAGTCACGTGCTCTGTCCAAGAGATCTTCAGCATCCTTCAAAAAACCCACAATAGTCCATGTTTCCACTCCGTATGATATGGAATAAATGAATCTTTTACAAATTGGTATCGGATATCCAACGATATACGAGCTTGTATTTCAACTTCGTAGTCAAGATCGTTTGTTATCCAGCAACCAAGATACTGGAATTTTTGTACGGGTTCTATCTGTTTGTGGTAGATATGAATATTAATGTTGGCATTTGGTGCATCTGTAACGGCCATTACTTTTGTTTTATTTGTATTTATATTCAGCCCCAAACTATCTCCCCCTCTGGTTATCGCATTCAAAAGTCGTTGCAAATCCTCAGCACTGTCCGCAATAATGACGGTGTCGTCTGCGTATCGTAAGTAGTTAATAAGTGTAAACAATATGTTTTAAAAGTCAGGATATTCTCCAACAAATACTGGTGTAGTTGAGTGTGATACAGACTATTCTACCTACACTCGTTTGACTGATTTCTAATTCACCCGAAATTTTTCTAGTACTAGTATTTGGGATTTCCGTAACAGAAAGCAAAACATCAAGTTCGTTGAAGTTGTCACCACTAGCTGGTTAATTCTTATTTACGTTTTTGTATGCAAAATCACCAGTAGCACGGAATCAATTGAGCAATCTTCCAAAAACTTCCTTTTTGGGTGTTTTTTATCAAAATACGTTTGAGCGTAAACTAGAAGCTGAGACAATTTTCGAAACATTCCTTAATGCAAAGTACCATGTTGACTTTTTGGTGTATAGATAGGGTAATTCTTCATTTTTAGGAGCAATTAAATTTAAAGATAGTACACGAATGTTTATATTTTTGACAAATATACAGGGCGTCCATAAAAAACAAATATATCTTTAAAAAATAATTAAAATCTTTTATAATATGTAACTTTGATACGCTGTAATTTATTGGGACACTTTGTATATTTTAAAATGTAGCTTTTTTTGCTAATTGGCGTTGCTTGCTTTGGGTACTATGTCTATTTGCCATATTACTAGTTACTTTCTAAATTCTAAAGATTCAATCCCAATGGTATTCAAACTCTAATTTCTTACACGAAAAGGAAGAATAATGTTATAAAATTGTTTGTTGTTGGCTTGTGGTTTAAATAAAGAATAAACTCAATTTTGCTGGTTATTAATTGCAGTGTAATTTTTTCTAGGTAAATATATATGATGCCCTTGAAAGATGTGCAAACTCAAAAGTCCTACAAATACTTGCAGGAAGTTGAAACGGTGGCACAAGACATACTAACACTCAAAGAGGAAAAGTTGTCGATCGCAAATACTCAAAACAAACTAAGGGAAGCTTTAACTGCTTTAAAGTACGTAGACGATAGGCAAACTTGGGTAGAAATCGGATCCATATACATACAACTACCAACCGAAGAGGCCAAGTATCTATTGCAAGATGAAATTAGGAAAGCAGAGGACGATTTGAAGGATTTACAAAATAAAATTCGATCGAAGTCACAGGATCTTAGAGATTTAGAACACCAACCTAGAATAGAGGGACTAACGTTAAAACCTATATCTAATATTGAAGCTAAAGCTCTGAACAAGGCATTTGGATTTAGTTAAAGGTATGTATCTTTATATTTTTCTTGTAATGAATATATTGCTGTAAACAATCCTACAGTCTATAAAGAAATTGCAGCGAGTAACACCTCATTTTATGATACAAAATTCTTTGTCGTGTTATGTTTAGAAGGTTCAATAGGATCATAATGTTCACCTTAGGTACTTCCTTTCTTAACTCTCCAGATACCATTTTTATATATCTTCTTCTTCCTCCTCTTTATGAGCAATTCTGCTTGTTCATTGGCGGACTAATACCTTTATGGAAAGTTGCCACTCCATATTTTCCGCGGTCTTCCGATACTTCTGCCGATTGGTGACTTATATCTTGCTATTTTGACAACACGATTCTCCCCCATTCTGCTTATATGGTTATTCCATTCTTTTTTCTGCTTAGTGTGCATTCTTTATTGCACGTTACATTTTCTTCTAATGTTTTTACTTCTCTTACGATTTCTGACCGTATCAATCAATATTCTTTATTTCATCTGACTTTTACAAGTATTGAAATGCGTCAAAATACAATCTAAAAAACTATAGGTACATAGGTAGTAAAAAAAATAAAAACTATAAGCACATAAAACATAAAATATCCCCAAAACAGACAAATTGTTAAAAAGATGCCTGCAAGTATTCCTCTAACGAGTAGAAAGTGTTTGCCAGAAGTAAGTCCTTAACTGTTCTCTTAAATACATAAATATTTGACTCTTTAACGTAATTAGGTAATTTATTATACAAACTAACGCATGTTGGGTAAGGACCCTTGCCCACAACAGTCAAGTGACGAGCAGGGGTCACCAAATCATTTCTGTAACGAAAATTGTAGCCACTCATTAAGGAAACATCATTTCTGCAAATAAAATTACATCTATGTGACTTTACTTAAACAACACAACCGAAAATATACAGAGAAATTACAGTTAAAATATTTAATTGTTTAAAAACTGGTCTACAGGAATCCAAGCGCCTTCTAAACGTCATGGTACGAATAATTTGTTTTTTTTTGAAGAACAAGCACCTCATTAATTCGCGAGCAATTTCCCCAACAAACTAAGCAATATTGCAAAATTGACTGTACATAAGCAAAATAGTAAAGTTTCAAGATATCTAGGGAGACGAAATTCCTAAGTTGCCTTAGAACATAACAGTGTACAGACAATCTTCCCACTACAGAATCAACGTGAGAACTCCAAGACAAATTAGAATCCAGGTAAACACCTAACAACTTAGTGGAGTGGCTATTTACCACAGACCCATTGTCAAGCTTTACTAATGGACTCATCTGCATAGTAGAAGGTGAAAAGGTTACCATATTGGTCTTTGATCCATTTAAGATTAGGGCATTATTTAAACAGTAATGAGTCATACTTTTTACAAGACAATTTGCTTTTTGTACTACATGAAAAAAATTATTGGAATTTAGTGCAACTGTGGTATCGTCAGCAAATTGAGTGACGTAACAGTCTGATTGCTGTTCCAACTTTTCTCCTCGAACGCTTATTGCATCAGAAAAATTATCTAATGGATTCCGAACCAAACATGTTGAGCTATCGTTTATCAGTTGATATCGTTTATCAGTTGATTTAAATCATTGACGAAAATAAAAGAGGGCCAATGATACTTCCCTGTGGAACTCCGGAGAGGACACTTTCCTGTAATTCTTCTTAGTACCCTCATCTCTGCCGTTTCCAGTAGGCTTTGTGTTGTGACTCTGTCGGGTCTGATGTCCGAGGCATATATCGTTATTGGTCTTACACTAGCTTTATAAATTCTTGACTTCATCGCAGTGATCATGTGTCTGTTTGTACTTGATCCATTATTGCTTGATTTCATTACTGCATTTTCATGGTTGGTTCTTTGCTGATTACTATTGTTTTAGTTCTCTGAGACGAGATTTTCAATGATGCCAACAATTATTCTTAGGATTCGTTCAAAAAGAGAAAACAGTTTTCATCTCCTTTGGAGATGGTCCAGGTTTCTGATCCTTATATAAGAATTTATAAGGGTTTCTTGTATCGTTATTTTTGTTGCAATTTTTGTAGATTTTTCCATAATTGCCGTTACTTATCTTTCTTATTTCTTATCATCTGATAATGCAAATACTAAAAGAAGCAGAAATTAACAACCAAGATCTGAAAATAATTAGAAATCTTTACTAGAATCAGACAGGAAATCTCAGAGTTGAAGGTGAATACACTGACTATGTGACAATCATGTGTGGGGTGAGGCAAGACTGTATTTTGTCCCATCTAATCTTCACTCTGTTTGTCAAGTTTTGCACGAAACTGAAAAAGGTATTCTACTAAATGGTTACCAGCTAAACAACATCAGATATGCAGATCAGATGCATAGTATTCGCGGACAACTTAGAAGACCTACAAGTTCTTATGAACAAAATCACGTATTACAGTCAACAATATGGACTCAATATAAACGGTAAGAAGACAAAGCTTATGCTAATTAGCAAGAAAAGGATAACAGAAGGTCAACTCTACGCCAACCAATCCCCTGTAGAAATAGTGACTCGCTACAACTACCTCGGCACCATATTAAATGAAGAATGGACCAACCACTAGGAGATTATAGCACGCATCGGAAAATCTAGATCCACCTTCAACCGGATGGGGGCCTTTTTCAAGAGTCACAACCTCTCTCTTGATACAAAAATAAGAATGTAGTCTTCTCTGTTCGCTTTTATAGTGTTGAATCGTGGACCTTGAACGAAGATATGTGCAGAAAACTGGAAGCATTTGAGATGTGGCTATATTGAAGAATACTTAAGATCCTGTGGACTGACCGAGTCACAAATGAGGAGGTCCTCAGAAGTATGAATAAGAAAGAGATGTACTGACCATCAGCAAATCTCAAAAGTTACAATTCTTCGGACATATTATGCGAAATGAATCCAGATATGCTCTCCTTCAAGCCATCCTGTAAAGAAAAATATTTGGGAAACGAGATCCACGAAGAAGAAGAACATCTTGGTTAAAGAACCTTAGAATCTGGTTCAATACAACAACTGTGCAGCTTTTGTGCGCTGCTGCAAATAATATAAACATTGCCATGATGATCGCCAACATTCGTAACGGATAGGAGCCCATTAGTGATGTCCATCAATTGTCTTTTGATCATTGTACTTCAGTTTTCGGTTTCTATTAAACTATTCAGTCGTTCTTATTATTTCTTCCTCTGCTGTGTGAGTATGTCTGTCAATATTTTCCTTTTTACAATATTAGTTAATTTTTGATTTAGGGCAGTAAAGTTTAGACAACATTAATATTATACAAATGTACTGTTATATTAACCTTTCTAATGAATTATATATACACGCCTTCAGAGTTATCTTAGCTTTGACGTGAATGTTTCAACGAATTCAGTTCCCCATATGTTTCAAAATAAAGCCCTTAAAAGTAATTGGTTATCGATAAAGAACTTTTTATATCAGAAAGACGGTCGTAGATTTAATTTCAATGCAGAGCATTTCAACCTCATTAGGTATCAAAAGAGCGACATATGCAGAGGCTCTGAATCGAAATTAAATCTCTCCTGTCATAATTCAATAATTATAAAAATAATTATTTACAGAAGTTACAACGCAATCTAATATTGAAAATTATTATGTTACAATATTAGAAATCCTAGGATTTTCTACTTGGCGAAACTAAATAGTTAATTTCGCCAACTAGGGTATCTTAGGATTTCTAATATTGTAACTTTTTATATATTCAAAATAAAAAATTTAGATTCTTTGGTGTTATTTTTGGAGTCTTTCTGCCGTCTGTACGGGGATTAGTACAGCTAAGACTGCAACAGGAGTTCCATATTCTTCTTCTTCTTCTGGTAGCACTACAACCCGGGGTGGGTCTTGGCTGACTGCACAACCTGCTTCCATCTCTAACGGTCGTCCATGATGTTTAAGTCAGTGGGTAGCCCATTGTTCTCAAATCTGACCATATATTATCTCTCCATCGCATTCGTGGACGTCCTAAGGGCCTTCTCCCCGTCGGGACTTCTTCCCAGATTAACTTGGTAAGGCGGTTATTAGGGAGCCTATGAACATGGCCAGCCCATCTTAGACGTTGGGATTTAATCTCTTGGACTACGTCGCTAGCACTATACATTTGTTTGACCTCGGCATTTGTTCTCATTCGGTATTGGTTAGTATTCGGATCGTGATAGGGACCGAAGATCTTTCTGAGGATTTTTCTCTCAAAGCATCTGAGTTTACTTTCCATTGCTTTTGTCAGCGTCCACGTCTCACACCCATACAGGAGCACCGGTCTAATTACTGTTTTATATATCCTGATTTTTGATGTTCGTGTTAGGCTCTTGGATTTAATAGTGTTGTGGAGGCTATACATACATCTGTTTGCTGCCTGAATTCTCCCTTTTATCTCTTCCGTGATATCGTTGTCTGTGGTGATAGTCGCTCCGAGATATTTAAAACTCTTCACTCTTTCAAAGTTATAGGGGTATCTTTGTCACATTTTGTCCTATTCTATCTCGTCTCTTTTGTCTGTTTATGCACATATATTTGGTTTTCTCTTCATTGATCCTTAGACCGGTATTTTTTGCCTCTCTAATTTATTGAAGGTTTCTTTTACATTGGTGACGGTATTTCCTACAATGTCAATGTCATCCGCGTATGCTAGTAGTAATTTTGGTCCATTTACTGTCAGTAGTTCTGTTCTAATTTGTGCGGTTCTTACTACTTTTTCCAGGATTATATTAAAAAGAAGAGTTGACAGCGCGTCTCCTTGTTTCAGTCCACTGTTTATTTCAAATGACTCTGAGAGCTTGTTAACTATCCGCACTCTAGATCTACAGCCATTTACACAAACTTTAACGAGCTGGATAAGTTTTTTTGGAACTAAAAGTTCTGCCATTGCATTCCACATCTGATCCCTTTTAATGCTGTCGTATGCTTGTCGGAAATCTATGCAGATATTATGAATGGTTCTATTGAATTCCCATCCTTTTTCAAGCAGCTGCCTGAGAGTAAAAATCTGATCTATGGTCGATCTATTTTTTTTGAATCCGGCTTGGTATTCCCCTATGAAATTTTCTACAAAAGGTGTTAGTCTACTTAATAGGATGTTCGATAAGATTTTGTACGCCGTATTAAGTAGGGAGATGCCTCTATAGTTAGAGCACTTGGTTTTGTCTCCCTTTTTATGGATAGGAATTATTACACTTTCGTGCCATTTTGTTGGTATTTTCTCTTAGTTCCATATAAGTGTTATTAGTTTGTGTAATTGTCTATGTAAAGTTTCTCCTCCGTACTTAAGAAATTCGGCTGGTATATTGTCAGAGACTGGAGCTTTTGCGTTCTTCAATTTGTTAATTGCTTGCAATGTTTCGTCTATTTTTGGGTACTCTACCGGTAGGTCCAACCCAAGGTATATATCCTCTCCATGTTCTTCATCTTGGTGTATATTAATTAAATTTTTGAAATATTCTTGCCATGTTTGGAGTAATTCTTGTTCGTTGATTATTAATTCATCATTATTTTTCCTCAGTACAGACACGCAGTCAGGAGTTCCATATTAGTTCTTATAAAATGGCATCTCTATGGCAACAGAGGAAGGCATAATAGACAAAGAAACAATTAATAGATACGTAGGGTGATAGACATGAAACACAAAGTAATATTTTTTCGTTTTTTTGGTATATATCTTGTGTAAATTAGCTCGAAGAGTCTGCTATCTATCTGACCTATCTAGCCGACCATTCTGTTTTTGAAAACTCAAAAAAATCAGCCTTTAGATATTATAATTAAAAAAAATTATAAAATATCCTTTTTAATGTTCCAGGTAAATCGACAGTATTCTAAGGGAATATTTGAATTGCAAATTGCCGCTGAATATAGTGGTGGAATTTTGTATATTTAAAATCCAATCCATCTAATTTGTCGAGTTGCATAAAAATGCCCAGTGCCTCTTTTATGGCGTCCAGGTCGTATGTGAGGAGATCCAGACGGAAAGGGGCCAACAGGATACCTACACCATCTAGAACAACTTCAGCGGAACCATGTGAGCCTCGTGTCCAATACAACCGAACCAGAACATTCCAGCATCTTTTCAGGCTTTTCCTCATTTACCAAGTGTTAGTAGCACAAGCAGTGGAGGTAAGAATACTTCTTTAGTTCAATTTATTTTTTTACATTGTGTAACTGTTTAGTTTAAAAAGAAAAAGACAGTTAAGGTTTAATTTTATGTATAGTGCGTCAATGTAGCCGCTTATAAGTATTTCGGCCTAATAGGCCTCGTCAGAACGGCAACTCATTATCGCTCTGAACGTGAAAATAAATCTCTTCTGTCTTAGGAAGCAACTCAAACATGACTTCAAATGGACGCAAATAGCGACATCTGATACTAAAATCCGTAAACTAATTTTCGAAACCAAATTCAGACTAGTTTAAATGCGACAAAAAAAAATCACCAATAGTAGGCTGCTGTCTCTTTGTTCTATCTTGGATGCATATTTTTATGCAAACTTTTTTTAGCCCTTTTCTTAACAAAAGATATTTGTAACTATACTTTTTATTTTGACATTCGATTTGTTATGTTCCTCCTTTTTTCTGTTAACATTGACGTTTATAATATTATCTTGGTACCTACATTACAAATTCTTCTGGCGTCTTTATATTTGTTTGATCTGTTTTTGTTTACTATAAATATATCTCAAAGTTGACACTGTTACTTTTTTTATTTTGATATGTATCGAAATAAACAAAATTGAAATCTTTCCCATCAAAAAAAGCTAACAAAAAACTCTGGTTGAGTATTTCAGCCCATTGATTGAATATCTGATTGGCAAAATATGTTATATAATTTATTATGTAATATCTTTCAACGATAATTTTTCTGCCAGATCCCAAGACAAAGTTCAGTACATGCACATTAGTACTCCAGTTCAGTGATCGATACTATGGCTGAACTGCAATATTACTAGAATATTAAAATATGTTGTTTAAAGGGGGTTAAAAGTGTGAATTCTACACTGGCAGTGATGTCAAGAAGAATCCTTTTTGTCTGACCTAGAATAGGACTGGATTGACTGTCAGTACAATTCCAGTTGTTTTCATGGATTGTGTGTTGATTTGTAAGTAGACCGCGAATCCAGTTATTCAACTGGATTTCTCACTAGATCTAGTTCATTCCAGTGCCAGTTAATAATTACCATTGAAATTCAGCACTGTGTTTCGACCACTGGATTGGAGTGCTACTGGAGTAATGTAAACCAGGTTTATCTATGAACGAAAACTATCTGGTCGCTAACCATGATGGACATAAATTAAATTTTGGTCAGATCGTTTATTCAAGTTTTAATGAAATATTTAATTACTATAATATATGACATAGAATCCCGAACACGAATTATCAATTATTTTATTTTAATAAAATTTGGTAGAAAACAAAAATTCTGGACAAAAACAATAAATACTTAGAATTTCAAACATATCAATTTTGTTTTTCGTTTTTGTTTTTTTTTTTTGTCAACCATTAAAAATTTCAGTTTTTAAGTTTAGTGCAAATCAAAATTTAGCGTTGTGCATTTCTTGGATTTTTGACAGTTGATTTCAAGGCCTAGAGTACGAAAATGCGCAAATTTTCACCAACTGAGCGAATTTGATATAAATCTACAGTTTTTTGTGGAACGGCATGAGCACTGCAATGTTGGAGTTATAATGTGGGGCGCCATACCTTATGGTAACCTTTAATCATCGTCAGTAGGAATATGACAGCTCACCGATACGTAAAAAAATTTCTAACCTCATCTCAACCCTAACTTCGACGCACCAACATCCAATTCTTCAGGATAATGCAAGGCCACACATTGCGACACAGTTTGGGTTCCGAAATGGAATGGGTACTCGAAAAGGACTATTTGCCATCAACATATTGATTCAGCGATGTCGGGATGTAAATGTTGATCTACACTTGTGCTTCGTTGACTACGAAAAAGCTTTCGATAAAGTAAGACATGAAAAACTAATATCAATACTTATGAACAAGCGCATTGACAGTAAAATCATAACTATAGTGCAAACATTATACTGGAACCAAAGAGCCATAGTTCAAATTGATGGGCAACACTCAGAAGAAATGAAGATCTGTAGAGGAGTTAGACAGGGATGTGTTTTATCGCCACTTTTGTTAAACTTATATTCTGAAGAAATTTTTCAAAACACGCTCAATAATATCGAAGCAGGAGTCACCGTTAACGGAAAATTAATTAAAACTTACGATATGCAGACCACACTCTGATCACAGCAACGACTATAGAGTATCTACAATATCTTATCAAAAGCTTGAGTATGAATAGTGCTGAGATGGGAATTACTATAAACGATAAAAAAACGAAGTACATGGTAATTAAAAAAATACCACAAAATATACATCACCTATTGACAATCAATGGTAACGTGATAGAACAAGTAGAAAAATATCAGTTCTTGGGAACTTTGATCAATGAAACCAATGATCATACTGTAGAAAGAAACAAGCGAATAGAGATTGCCAGATCAGCATTTTTACGAATGAAGCCACTTCTAACGTGCAAAAATCTAAATTTGGAGATCAGACTTGGACATTAAAAAAATTTAATTTAAAAAGAATCGAGGCTTTCGAACACTGGTTATACCAGACATAGAGACAGAGAATTGCCAGAAAAAGAGTAGAGAAGAAAAGAAAATATATAATATAGAAAACCTCAACAGAGAGAAAGAATTCAATAAGAAAGTTATTATCAACAAAGAAGAATTCAAGGCAAACACAAATCAATGTAGAAGTTTGAATATTGATCTATTAACAACAAGAACAGACGTACTAAATCGATGGACGGCATATTTTAATAGACGAAAGCTATGAGGTAAGCGAAGCAGACGAGAGGGAGAAGGATCCACCAGCAATCCTGGAAGTTAAAGACGCTGTAAACAAACTAGCCAGAAACAAGTCACCCGGAATAGATAATATCCCATCGGAATTGTATAAAGAAGGTGGCCACGATATCATAATAGCGCTGCAGCAGCTTATAAAAGAAATATGGATACAGAAGTCCCTTCCGAGTGATTGGAATATCGGAATACTTTGCACCATACACAAAAAGGGAGATATCTTTGAATGCTCTGACCATCGAGGAATTAAGCTCCTAAATGCAGCGTATAAAATAACTCTGGTTATACCGCAGAGTATTAAAAATATCCTGGATTGATAGAATTACCAGAGTTGCCATGGACTTCTTTGAACCGGTTGGAGTCAGTCTTTTGGCCTGGCCATCGAGATTCCCAGATTTATCCCCAATTGAACAGGTGTGAGACATGATGGATTCTTAATTTAACTCCTCAAACTTTGGGAGCACTTCGGGAGAAGTTAATTAGGGCATGGAGATAGTCGAAGAGTATATCGACCATCTAATCAGAAGCGAGCCACCGAGGTGCATCAACACATTATTATTTGATTTACCCAGTAAGTTGTTTCAATCATTATTTTCCTACTTTCAATAATTGTACAAAATATTTTCAAAATATAATAATTTATAATGGGTGTTCGGATTTCCATGTCACTTAGTATAATTATACGGGTCTGTTGCTACATTTGCAACTAAGAATCTTTTTATTTCCAACCCTACTTATTTTGCATTTTCACTTAATTCAAGAGATTGATGATTTTTGTAATACAGTTCACCACTAAAGATGCTTATCAAATGTATGCATGTATAATTACGTGGTGTTTAAAATTTCTTAGCATACCTTATTTTAACTGTCCAATTTTTAACACTTTAGGTGGTGGAGCAGTACCCGCTCATCATTCCCCATATGATTTACGGAGGAAGTCGCCATCCCATCACGATGGTCCAGGACCCAGTACTAGCGCAGCTACCGCAGGCTCTCCTACTTCTCCTGCTACTCCAACGATCCCCGCTCAAGGATATACTTCAGTTATGCTGCCCGCTAGAAAGAGGCCCAGAAGAACTTGCTCCGCATCATATGAGAATTGCACTAACACAGCTGCTCATTACTTGCAGTACGAGCTTCCAGATGAAGTTTTGCTCACTATTTTTAACTATTTATTAGAGCAAGACTTGTGTCGCGTTAGTCAGGTGTGTAAGAGATTTCAAGCTATTGCAAACGACACCGAGATTTGGAAACGTTTGTATCAAAGTGTATATGAATACGATTTGCCATTATTTAATCCGGCTCCGTGTCGTTTCGAATTTATAAGTCCAGAAGAATCAGATTTGGCTAATCCTTGGAAGGAATCCTTTAGACAGTTATACAGGGGAATACACGTTCGTCAAGGTTATCAAGATATTACTTTCAAAGGTCGTAATTTGGTATATTTTAATACTGTTCAAGGCGCTCTCGATTATGCTGATGAACGTAGCGGTTCCAACAGTAGCACTGGTTCAGTGTCTGGTTCTTGCAGTAATCATTCTGCCGAGGGTTCATCACAAGGAGCTTTAATATTCCTTCACGCTGGAACATACCGCGGTGAATTTCTTGTTATTGATTCCGACATTGCTTTAATTGGTGCTGCCTCTGGAAATGTTGCAGAGTCGGTTATCCTTGAAAGAGAATCTGAATCAACTGTTATGTTTGTAGAAGGTGCGAAGAACGCTTATGCTGGCCATTTAACTTTGAAGTTTTCTCCAGATGTAACATCGACTGTTCCACACCACAAACACTACTGTCTTGAAGTGGGTGAGAATTGTAGTCCCACAATCGATCACTGTATTATTCGTAGCACGTCTGTAGTAGGAGCTGCTGTTTGTGTAAGTGGGGTAGGTGCTAATCCAGTTATAAGACATTGTGATATTAGCGATTGCGAAAACGTGGGCCTATATGTAACAGATTATGCACAAGGCACTTACGAGGATAACGAAATTAGTCGGAATGCTTTAGCTGGTATTTGGGTAAAGAATTATGCAAACCCTATAATGCGCCGGAACCACATACACCACGGGCGAGATGTTGGTATATTTACATTCGATAATGGTCTTGGTTATTTTGAAGCAAATGATATTCACAATAATCGAATAGCTGGTTTCGAAGTTAAAGCAGGTGCTAACCCTACTGTTGTACATTGTGAAATACATCATGGACAAACTGGAGGAATATACGTGCACGAAAACGGACTCGGACAGTTCATCGACAATAAAATTCATTCAAATAATTTTGCAGGCGTATGGATAACATCAAATAGTAATCCTACCATTCGCAGAAACGAAATATATAACGGACACCAAGGTGGAGTTTATATATTCGGAGAAGGCAGAGGTTTGATTGAACATAATAATATTTACGGAAATGCTCTCGCTGGAATACAGATTCGTACTAACAGTGATCCAATAGTAAGACACAACAAAATACATCACGGACAACATGGAGGAATTTATGTACATGAAAAGGGTCAAGGATTAATCGAAGAAAATGAAGTATATGCAAACACTCTAGCCGGAGTTTGGATAACTACTGGGAGTACACCTGTTCTAAGAAGGAATAGAATCCATTCCGGCAAACAAGTAGGTGTTTACTTTTATGACAACGGCCATGGTAAATTAGAAGATAACGATATCTTTAACCATCTTTACTCTGGTGTACAAATTAGAACTGGAAGTAATCCGGTCATTAGAGGAAACAAAATCTGGGGAGGGCAAAATGGAGGTGTGCTAGTGTATAATGGAGGGCTTGGCTTGTTAGAACAAAATGAAATATTTGACAATGCCATGGCAGGTGTTTGGATTAAGACTGATTCGAATCCTACATTAAAAAGAAATAAGATTTTCGATGGACGTGACGGAGGTATATGTATTTTTAATGGAGGAAAGGGTATATTGGAAGAAAATGATATATTCCGAAACGCCCAAGCGGGTGTTTTAATTTCTACTCAAAGTCATCCCGTATTGAAACGTAATCGTATCTTTGACGGTCTTGCAGCTGGTGTTGAAATCACAAACAACGCTACAGCTACATTAGAATTTAATCAAATTTTTAACAATAGATTCGGTGGGTTGTGTTTAGCAAGCGGTGTACAGCCGATCGTCCGCGGCAACAAGATATTCAACAATCAAGACGCCGTCGAGAAAGCAGTGGCTAACGGACAGTGCTTGTACAAGATCTCCAGTTATACTTCATTTCCGATGCATGACTTTTACAGATGTCAGACGTGTAACACGACCGACAGAAACGCCATCTGTGTGAACTGTATTAAAACTTGCCATGCTGGTCACGATGTTGAATTCATTCGACACGACAGATTTTTCTGTGATTGTGGTGCCGGTACCCTCACTAATCAGTGCCAGTTACAAGGTGAACCTACACAGGATACGGACACCTTGTATGATTCGGCAGCACCTATGGAGTCTCATACACTTATGGTTAATTAGGGGCTCTTCTTATATTGGCCGCCTCCGTACTATGTTAGTATTTAGAACATCAAGTGTTCAAAAAGTACTGATTATTAGTGTGTTTATGACCGACGTTATAATTTAATAATTTTTTCAAGCCATCAATTTGATTATCTATTTAGCTTCCTATATATAACATTATACATGTAGCAATGCTTTGTAGAGGTGTAAATATTTTAGCTGTGCAATTTAGATATAAAAATATGATATTTATACAAAATTAAGCTTTTTCGTGGGATACAGATTGTTTTATTTAAATGTGTATCATTTAACCATGAGTAGAATTATTCTTGACACTTCTTTGTGGTAATTTACACCAAATACATGTAGTGCAAAATATATGAAACTATAGTAAAACATACTGACTTTCTATCACCAGAAGTGTAGCGGAGAATACCTACAGAGGTAACTATTCGAAGTCACTAATGGAAATGTCATTTAACTACACTTTTTCAGCTGCTAAATACTTTATATTCAGAACAGTGACATCTTCAGTTTCCAGAAAGTCTGTGGCAACGAGACTCTGCTGGTACGTGAAGGGGCATTATCCTGCATGAAAATGAAAATATTTCTTACTGTCATACTTTTTTTTGTCATACATTTCTCATTATTAGTAAGAAATACTGGATATATATATATATATATATATATATATATATATATATATATATATATATATATATATATATATATATATCATCAGGTAATCAGAAGAATGTATTTTTTACTATAAGTTCTTACTTGAACTTGCCTCAAAAATTGATAAAGAAATGTCAGTGGATCAAAATTCGTTTTTAAATGAATAAATAAAACAACATTTATGAGATAAAGTAGCAAGTCATTTTGTATATTGTCAGTTTTTGATATCAAAAATAAATATTTACACTTATAGATTAAACACCCTGTATATCTAATTGTAATACTTTTGGGTGTGTGGATATTTTTTACTGCAATGTTTTCGTATTTTTAAAGCACTATTTAATTAATTCATTGAATCAACCATTGTAATTGCATCTACATAATAGTATCAATAAAATAATTTTTTACGGTTTTTGTGTTTTTACATACAGTTTTTATCAACGATTTCGCAATCAAAGTAATTGTTGTGTCATTGAGGAAATATTTTATCCGTATTGAATATTTGGTTTGGGTGAAAACCTTTTTCGTATTCCACAAGTTATTTTTGTTCTATCTTCCATTCTAGGTCTGGTTATACAATCTTAATTATTTATATTTCTCGAATAATAAAGGAAAAATCTTCCCCTGGGCTCAAGCTAATGGTTATTTTAATGATTAGTTTCCTTGTTTTCAGCTAACACGTCTAAATTGCCTAAACTTGCCAAATCAATCCGTTAGGTTACTTGTTAAACGTTATGTTAATGACACCTTAATCTTCTCTGGCATGGCAAATGGCAAGTAGCAAGTAGCACACGTCTAGCATGTTACTTAAAATGTAACCAATGAAAACGAATGATTCAGCGCACGCTAAAATGACAGTGACGTCATTCATTCTAATCATTCGTTTGCATTGGTTACATTATAAATAACATGCTAGAGGCGTGCCACTTGCCATGCCAGTTTGGCGAGCGCTCTCACTAACAATATTATCTGCATATCTCAATGGTCTTCTGTATATATCGGTTTTCAGCTTCTTTTTAACCTTTAACTTACCCATCAAGATGAAATTTAAATTATATTTGTGACTTCATAGAATATGGCACAAGTATGAAACCTTTAGCCGCTTAAAGAGATTCTCTTTGGACTTAGCCTCATTATTTGTTACATGGAATTCTATGGCAGTCTTCTGAGACACCACACTTCGAAAGCCTCCACACGACTCAGAGATCTTATTTTATGTGACCAGGTCTATCTGCCGGATCGGCTATACCTAGCATTTTAAGACCCGGATTCTAAGGTTTAAAAGATCTTTATCGCAAAGGAGGTATTTATCAAATGTAACTAAGGCGTTTCTAGCTATTGCTGATCTTATCTCTACTTAAAGGACACCTTCTCACTTGCTGTTTAATGTAGCTCCATCTTCCACTTTCAAATGAGCTCCCACAGGGGGTTGTTCGTTGATTACCATATTACAAACATATATTTGGTTTTTGATATGTTGATGTTAATTTTTTACTCATCTCACTAAATTTATGATATTCACTTAATCCTGCAACACCTCTATATCGTATGCTATTATGGCAGTATCGTCAGCATACCTTAGTTTATTAATAGGAAGAAATAATTTTCATGTCTTTTTCGTTCTGTTGTGAAAAATGAACTAACTTTTCTACATAAATGTTGAACAGTAATGGGAAGCGAATATAAGCCTGTCTTATATCGTTCCTTATATCTATTTTTTCTGTGTATAGGCCGTTGGCAATCCTTAGTTCCGCTTTTTGATTCAAATATATCTGACGTCTATGAAATAGTTCCTGTCTGACGTCAAAGGCCTTTTGGTAATCAATGAAGCAAATGAAAACATATTTTCTTTCGTCGTTGCCTTTCTGCACTAGCATGTTCATGCCAAAAAGTGCGTCTCTTGTCCCAAGCCATTTTTGAAACCAAATTAAGTGTCCCATAACCAGAAATATTTAAAATAATTCTTAATCATTATCCATTTTATCAGACCGTTAACAAACATAAATATACTCATTGTGTACACAGTACATTGTGTAAACAATATACATTGTGTAAAATATTACTATTGTAACTCCCAGTGTATGGACTTTTTCGTAACTCACTCGTGAAAATATGGATTTTTCTACTCATCTTCGTGAATCAGCATTTTTCCTAATCTATATTCAATCCATTGTCATTTTTGCCCAATAAAGTATCGCTGTTATTCCTTCTTCAGATATTTTCTATAAGTACCGGAATTAGTTTTTGGTTTCTTTTTTGTTATTCAGATTTTCTGAACCACATATTAAATATTGTTGACATTTATGAATGGTCTAAATTTAATAATACACTAAATACGGGTACTATTTTTTTATACTTGTTGTGCAATTGTTATGCAATACAATTGTCAGGGACACTTACAGTATTTTTTTAATTTTTGCTTTTTGTGACAGTATCTTAAAATTATCATTATCATTAAAAAGGTATTGGAGACAAAATGCAACCCTGTGTGACCTGTTAAATATAGATGAACACAAAGATCCGATAAGTTTTTGAAAATCTAACTGCACATTCCAACATTATATATCGATTAATTTTTGTTCTGGCGACACGTAAAAGAAAACCAAAACGAACAGGTGCTGTAGTATTTTGAAATGACGCCAACTGCTCACCGGTTTGTATTGTTTAAATTTCTATACTCTAGATATTTAAGCAATATAATGAACAGTCTCTTATACAAACTTATTTGAGTGTTGTCAATGACTGTAAGTTTCGTGGCCGGTGTTTTGTAGTGGCTCATTGTTTTGTGGGGTGTATAGGCCGTGATCTGGAATTATTTTTTCTTGAGGTTCGCTTGCAACTGCTGCAGACATTACCAAAGTTGATGCAGCAACTCCTGTACATGTCTTCCGCTCACTGATGATGTTTATCGGCATCTGCGCTATTTATAGCCATCGTTTCCTTCCGAGCTTTGTCAGTTGGACTGAATCGGTACCGATTCTATATTCGATACTATAAATAGTGCAGTTGTTCGAGAAATACCGACTGTAAACATAAGACAGTCGCAGTTGCACACGAAACGTCAGGAATAACGAAACGTCACAAAACTATTTCAAACAACGCCTGTAAACCTCGAGAATACTGTGCCATTATTTGAGGCTGTTAGTTCTTTTTTATTTTTTCTGCTGTCACGGAAATGGGATCCTTTCTCCGTCCATGTACCATCACTATTGAGGTTGGCGACACCAGTATGACAAAAGTATTGTCTATTGTGGGCTTGGTGCATGAGAGCATTTCCTTCAGTTCTGGTCGACTCTCTTATATTCCTGGCCCAATATTTCTTCTTTGTTTGTATACCACGTTTTTCTTCAGGTAATTGTTCGTATTCCTTACGGCAAATGTTCGAAATGTGAGGTTTACTTAACTTTGTCAGCTAATATTCAATAGATGTGGGCGAGTATTCATCCCTGCCAACATTGTTCCTGTGGTCTAACTTATTCGCAACATTCTTCTGTACATCCCCATTTCAAATGCGTTTAACTTGTTGATTCGCATTGTGTTAGCGTCCATGTTTCGTAGCCATACAAAAGCACGGACAATATATAATATTTTAATGTGTTCAGTCTTATTGATATGGCCAATATTGGATTCAAAACATGTTTCTCATATTCATGAATCCTGCTGTGGTGATTTCAATTCTTCTTTGAATTTTCTTTAAGTGGTCTAGGTTGCTATTTATTTCTCTACCCAGGTATATATATTATTGAACGGTTCGTAAATTGATTCCATTGGTATTACTTTCCAACCCCATCTGCTCTCTTCTTTGAGTATCTTCTTCTTTTGATGTCTATCCTCTGTGGATTTTGCCAATTACGTTGGTCCATACGACTTTCTGATTTTCAGTATGTCATCTTTCTGATTTTCACGATACGCATAATTTCCAGATCTTTATTCATACGTTGGATCACGGTGTTGTTTGTAACATGATGGATATAGGAAATTCTGAGCATGCGGCGGTAGCACCACATTTCGAAGGCTTCTATTCAACATCGTTTGGATGTTGCCTCCGTCAAGGTCCAGGCTTCGACTCCATATAAAAGGGTAGAAAACACATTATAGAAGATATATACGTTTGTGGGTATATCATCTGCATACCTTATGCAGTTTTTCATAACAATGCCATTGATTGTTGCTTCCTCCGGACGTTTTTCCGTTGGCACACTCTTGACCTGTTGCTGGTTCAATGTTTAACAATTTAGTGTTACCAATGTTCGTTCGAATACAGCCTCTGTGACTCCAATACGTGTTACAATTAATAGTGATGACTTCCGTTCACCTCCACCTGTTGTAGAATTTATATTAATTTGTGATGTTTGATTTGGTCAAACGCTTTTTTGTAATCAACAAATGGGTTATCCAAATCTAACTATTGAGACTGTTCCCTATTTTTTAAAACCTGATCAGTTACTATTAGAAAAGGCCATGAATAACAAAACCTTGTCCAAGCAGATGTATCGGTAATTTTAATGTGTATAGAAGCCGGTGTGTGTAGATATGCCATAAAATAACTGACAGACCGATGTTTAAAAAACTTACTTGTTATATCTATACATCAAGTTTTTATACCATCACATAAAAGAAAAGTTGAACTATTATATTGGTTGCAATGGCAAAAAATCGACCATTATCAGAATAATTTGATGTTGCACTGCAAGTTTGATACGCGCGTGAAACAACCAACTTGCTCTCTTGAAAGCTCGCGTTCAGTTACGGCGCAACATCAAATCAATCCTTTAATTGTCGGTGATCGATCGTCTCATGGCATGAAAGTTTAACATTTTCATTTGATGCGACAGTAAGAAACCAACCATCTTCGTAAC